CCCTTTCATCCAATGAAGATTTCCAACTTAACTTATGTAAAATTGAAAAAATTACATCTTCCAATATGAAGATTAATTTAAATTTCAAAAACAAGTTTTGAACTTTAAGGACTTTAATCAATTTGAAAACGATTAAATCCAAGAATTACTTCAACAAGGAATTTAGCAAGCAAATTTCCAACCAAATAAACAATTAAAGATTGGATCTTTGAAATATTAGGGACTTCTAAAAAATACAAGTTCACCATTAACATTCACACTTGAAGCAATTTATTTGCAAAAATGTCAAAATTTCAAGTTTATGTGAAAAATGAACTCACCAAATTAAGCACCAATTATGACTTCATAAACATGCTTAATAAGGTTTATAATTGGAGTAGATTAGTGATGCAACCATACATTTAATCTACCTTTAACAGGCCATAATTAATCAACATTAAATGATTTAAAAAAATTCGTCAAAAACGAAAAACCCCTCGAAAAACATGTTTTTGGGTGGATTTTGGCTTCTGGATAGCCTTTGAAAAGAGTCTAAAACGATTTAGAACATCGATTCCACCCAAAAATCACTATTTTTGAGTCTAAATCTAGGTTTGTAGCCAAAATTAGTATAAATACGAGATTAAAACTAAATAAAAACGAGCTTCTAATCTAACTAAAAAGCAAAACCAGAAATTTAAATCCATTTTAAATCACCTTAATTAATTATTAGTTACAAAAATTAAAGTGAGCGCGGCTTCGATATCGCTGTTGGGTTTTGTAGAGTCCGACTCTACGCGGAACAGAAACTCGCCCACTAATTAAAGCAATTAAGCATGCAATCACATAATTAAACAACAACTAAGAAAGAGAGGGAGAAGATAATCATACCCTTGACGCGTGTTTCGCTCAATCCCGAGTTCTTACGTCAAAAGTTGAACCCCGGAAATGCGAAGGTCTCCAACAGTTCGTACCCTCGAACCCAACCCGACCAGTCTTAATCCCGAAGGTTAGTCGGGACTTGACCAAATAAAACTTAGAGTATTACAAACTTAAGGTTTTCTCACTTAATTAAGGAGATGCCTTTTTAGTTCCAATCAAGTGTTCTTCCCAAATTCCAAAGCTTGGGTATTTATAGGGAAAGGAAACTTAATCTCCATTCTCCCACCAATGTGGCAAACAATAAACAAGCTACAAGTGGCACAAGGAGGACGAGAGAAGGTGAGGACCACCCAAGGGGAGGGGGGACCAAGTCACCTTGCTCCCCAAGCCAACCACCAACCATTGGTCCCCTCCCCTTGACCAAGCCACGTAGCATGGCTGCCTGCCTTGGCTGGGCTGCTACCCACGCACACGCACATCCCCACAGCCAGCCTACGCATGCATCGCTAGGATGTTGTGCGTGATGCTGCTGGGTGCTGCTTGCTATGCAAGTGGCGTGGTGCATGGTGCTGCTCGCTAGCGAGCACGCTGAGCAACACACACGCATACACAACACATTGTTGCGATGTGTGTGCTGCGTGAATGCACTGCTCAGTGTGAGGCTAAGATGAGCTAGGCGCCTAGCACGCTAGCAAGGCCTAGCCTTGCGGTGGGTGCTTGGCTAGCGATGAGCTGGGTGCCTGGCCTAGCATGCTAGCAAGCACGCAAGGCACCATGCCTGCAATGCTTGCTGGCTGTGCTAGGCCATGCCTAGCGTGATGCAATGGATGGCTAGCACGCACAGCCACACACGCACGCATGGCTTGCGTTGCTGCGTGTTGTGTTGTGTGAGGCCTAAGTATGCTGCGATGCTCAGTAGGCTTACGGCTGGGTGCTTGGCCCAACACACTAGCAAGCTAGCATGCGCTAGCTGCTAGCATGCTTGCAGCCAGCAATGTCAAGCCAAGCTAGCACGCTTGGCCTAGCACGCAATGCATGCCTTGCGGCTAGCATTGCGATGCGCATGCTAGCTCGAGCTAGCCTAGCACTCGCATGGCTAGGCCAATGCGAGGCTACGGCCTAGCTTGAACTTGTTGCGTGTTGAATTTGCGACGCTTGGTCTCAACACTCTAAGCCCGATATCCGACGTCTTTGTTCGTAATACTCTAATGACTTATCAAATCCTTCGGATTAATTCGTCGTCTCGGATCGGTTATTCGATTGGGTGCGACCCGAAGGGTTCAGTCAAGATTAAGTTGTAATATTTATGTACATTAAAATTACTGATCGAAAGCGGCCTCCACCAAGGCATTCCGATCACTTGACTTCACTGAAGAATAGCTTTCTAATAATTCCGAACCCTCTATCGGAATAATAAACTTGTTGGAAGGACACCATTCCTTTTAGTGTTGCCACAGGCGCGACCCAAGCCACCGCGAGTGCGCTCTTCTGGGTTTTGTTCGCGTTTTATCTTCGTTTTTTCTCCATTTTTCTTCTTGTAATATAAATAGAGCAACCTTCTTTAGACTTCATTAAGGAGGTTTTTACATTTTCTCTCTCCTATAATTAGGATTAGGCTTAAATTAGGATCTTCTCTCTCTAGTTTAGGAGTAGTTTTAGAGAGAGAAATGTTGGGTTTTACTATATTTCCTCCATTGTTGAACTTCAAGTTATTTCAATCCACGTTTTCAGTTAGTAATCTCTTTCCCTTATCTCTCTTATTTTGTTTATTGCTTTCTATTTGATTGTTATCTTTGTTTATGATTAGTTTTGTTGCTTTGTTTTGTTCATCCTTGTTTATGAATGATGTTTACATTTGTAGTGTTAGTTGTTTATTTCTAGCTTTGTTTCAATGGTTTCTCTTCTTTCTCTAGGCTAGATTTCTAGCTTTGTTTCAATGGTTTCTCTTCTTTCTCTAGGCTAGATTTCTAGCTAAGGGAAGGGGGTGAAGAGCATGGATTAATGCTGACTAGATGATGATGGATGATCAACTATTATGTCTTGAATTGATGATTTGTGCTATTAATTGCTTGGGATTATTGAGTGCACCTTTTATTCCTTCTTTATGAATGATGTTTAGATTTGTAGAGTTAGTTGTTTATTTTTAGCTTTGTTTCAATGGTTTCTCTTCTTTCTCTAGTCTAGATTTCTAGCTAGGGGAAGGGGGTGAAGAGCATGGATTAATGTTGACTAAATGATGATGGATGATCGATTATTATGTCTTGAATTGATGATTTGTGTTGTTAATTCCTTGGCGTTATTGAGTGCACCTTTAATTCCCTTATTTAATTTGTTGCCTAAGTTGGATGCACGAGAGTTGTTTAATTTAGGTATTAGATCTCAATTATCGATTTGCTTGAACAATTGCATGGAAATGAATTGTTTATGTGGAATTTTATATTCCTTGGCAAGTTAATCTTGATTTCCATCGTTATTTTGATATGTCAACCATGTTTAGAATCCCCATACCCCCTAGCGTTTGTTATTATTGCGTGAATTCCTTGTTAATTGTGCTTATTAGTTATTTTTAGTGCTTAATCCTAAAAAAAATCTCTATAATACACCCATTGCCTCTTGTATCCATGAATTCTATGATATATTTGCTTTGCTTCCCCGTGGAAATATGACCCTTACTTCCCAATATATTCACTTATTTTGGTAGTTAGGATTCATTTGATAGGAGGACTTTTAACGACGATTTTTACGCCTATCAGCATACGTTGTTGTAAAAACAGGAAGCAACCATATTACAAACTTTTTTTTTTCTATTTATAACCCTATCCTATACAAAGACCCCCAAAAGTCACAGTCTATCGAAACCAAGGAACCGACACATAAAATCCTCAGCCAAATACTACAGATGCTAAGTTATTCCTCCAAAATCACTGACGCACAATTGGATGACAAAACTAATATTACTAGTGTAGATGAGCAAACCTGTGTTTGAACAAATTAAAATTAATCATCTAAATAATAATAAGTTCGTTCATTCTTACAGATTTATGCTCCCAGTCCTCAGTGGACAACTTATTTACTTATTTAATCATAGGCTGATATTAGATGGGACCATCCATGTGATATCTAGAGAGCTAACTCTATCCAAAAGGGAAAAAAATAGTTAAATGCAATCCAGATGCGTCAATAAAAAGGTTAACCTTGCCTAAGCAAAAATCTAATGCAAGTCTCTGCAATTTTCCACCAGAAATATTCATAGCTTCTTGATCCATTAACAGCTCAATTCAAAAAAGCTTTATAACATTTGAAATAAATTGGGGATTAGTATATATCAATAGTCTTGCTACAACATATAGCCAAATTCATTCCTTACTTCACCCAAATTGTAAATGAATCTAGATGAAAAAAGAATATGGTCAATTTTTTTGCTATGGAACCACACATCCACTTCAATAAGCACTATTAGCTTGTCAAACTGCTTATATATTTTTTTTTTATTGTTTTTTATAATTCATCCCTCATCACTTTCTTTTAAACTTCATTATTTCAGTACTTGTAAGTGTAGATACTAGTATCACATACTGTTAAGCTTTTTTACCCATCCAACAATTGAACGCATTCACAAAAACTTCCCCATGTACCCACTCCCAAAGTCCCAAAGCTAAGTCTCAATACAACACCTTCACTCAAAACTCTACTGTACCCCCTCCCCCCAACCCTACACACAAAATCAATATTCTTATAATTTATACACTACAACTCTAATACCACCAGGGAAAAAAGAAAAAAAAAAAAAAAGGTATATATATACATGCCTCAAAGTCAGATACAACAGCAAGAACACTCTGGATATGTAAAAGTTGTGCATCCTAAAAATAATAAATGGGTATCTAATTATGTACTACAATTTAATCCACCTAATTTGTAATCTGGAGTTGAAGAACCTTCGTATACTCCAAAGATTTTAACAAGGTTCAACATAGTTATCTAGTGATTAGGATGGGGTCATTGGGTTATAATGCAAGCTGATACGATACAAAGACCCTATAATGAAAAACAAATATTGACAACTAAGAATCATGGATTAAAAAAACAGAAGGAAAAATATAAAGGAAAAGAAGATGAAACAGGAAAGTACATTGCTCTTAAAAGAACCTGATTCATTTTCTTATCCTAAAATCATTCTTTGTACAAATGATTAATCAAATTACACGGGTGTAAAGTTTTTGCATCGTACAATGCAAGAAAAAATTCAAACATCAATACATTCATAGCCCTCCTAAACCTATTAAAAAATATATGTTCAGTTACAACCAAAGTATATTTTACAGAGTGGGTTCAGTCTTTTACAACGATACATGTTAAGTGGGGAATTTTTGGGTTAGACTTTTCATTATAAGATTCTAAAGGTTGATAATTATGATAAATTAGCTAAGAGATACTATGCAAATCTTACTACCGTAAGTATGATCCTGAAATTTAAAAACATTCCCACAAATAATTTGAAAAGAAATATCATTTGTTCAAAGATCCATTAATTTCAAGTAGTGCAAACTCATATAAACGAAAATCATAGCCTATTAAAAGAAAAACCAATACATAGTATATTCATTTATTTCAAAAAAAAAATATGCAGAAAACCAATTAACGTATGAACTAGAAAGGAATGTACATACCTTGTCATGAAATCCCCTAAATTCTTGAAAAGAATGAATATAAATTTGAAACATATCAGCAAATACATATTTGAAAACGAAATTAAACAAAGAGAAACACTTAATTACCAATTAAAACATGTAATAGATGGGGAAAAAAAAGCCCCTTAAGATCGATACTTTAAAGGGAGAGAAAAACATACCTGAATAAGGCTGTCGAAAAAATTAAGATAGATTATTGAAATAATCATCAATTTTGTTTCTTAATTTGTGGTAGATCTAAAAGATCATGCAAAAGAGAGGAATGGAGGCCGAAATCAAAGAGAATTAATATCACAGTGAGGAAATTAGAGAAACAATTGATTTGACAGAAGAATTCGAATAATATATTAGCAAATTTATCAACAAGATTACTAGAAATCGACGACCAAATAAGGAAATTTCCACAATTTAAAGCCCAATTCACTGAATTAAAAAAAATATCAGAAAAAAATCAAAATAAAAAAATAAGCATAAAAACAAAAACCCTTAAAATTAAAATCTAAAGAGAAAGGAGAAAATACCGAAAAACAATTAGAATGTATACCAAATATGATGAAATCAAAGAGCTTCTTCCAGTTTAATTTGTTGCTGGGTTTGGAATTTTGGAGAGCGATGAATTGATGAGAGAATTTTAGTGAAGGCTAGGGTTTAGTTATTGGAGAGTAAAAGGAACGATTTTGATGATTTCCGGCTTTTCCCCCAATTTTGTTCAAGTTCACAAGCTGCATGTGCTTATCACGTGATTAATATTCAGGACGCTTATTTGGGTCAGCAATAAGTGAGGACGCTGAAAAGCGTCGAAGAAACACGGGAATCCAATTTTCCACTGACACTCTATTGACAGTGTCGAAGGCATAGCGTCGAAATTCAATTGGTTTTGTAGTAGTATATATTACTATCTAAGTTCTAAGATGTACTTTTGAACTATTTTATGTTTTGAATAAAATTAAAGAGCTCTTTTTTTTTTATTGTTATTTGACCGGATCAAAGATTGCCTACATATTCATATTACGAAATCATGTCTTGCGTAGTTCTTGAGTAAGTTTTTTTTTTTTTTTTGTTTTTTTTTTCTTTAATCCTACTTGTAGAAATTAAATGAAAAATTGATTAAACTTTGTTTAGTAGATCAAATCAAAGTTCAATTTTTGTTTTCTGAGTATATGTAAGATTGAATACATCTTTATTTTATCGCTCGTGAAAATCATAATTAATTTTCTTCAAGCGAAAAATTTCAGGTTCGTAGTTCGTCATCAAGTGGTCGCGTGCCTACCGCGCGCAACCAATTTGATTGCGCGTCGCAGCCTGGCGCAACCCATTGAGTTGCGCACGACATTTGTGCTACGAGTGAAATTTATTGATTTATTTTTTTTTTTTGACCAAGGTTTGAAACGAGTGAAATTTTTTTTTTATATTTTATTACCCCCCAAGTGAGAAATTTTTCGTGGAGTTCGAAAAAATCCGAATACTTGAATGACTCGTTTTGATTGATATATTACTCCCCCAAGTGTTGTGAATTTTACCGCGGAGTTTGGTAAAATTTAGAACACTTAAGCGAGAATATGTATTTATTTTTTTTAGATCTACCCCCCCCCCCCAAGTGTTATGAGTTTTACCGTGGAGCTTGGTAAAATACATAACACTTAGAATCTTTACTTGAATGCCATGAAATTTGATTTAGAATTTTGAATGAACGAGTTTATCCAGAATTTATATGTACTCCCTCTGTTAAATATTATCTGCAACCGCAATACAATTCGCGGTTGCCAATGCATTTTTTGGAGGGCCTTGATTAGAGAAAGTTAAGTAACTTGTAGCATGTAATTAAGGTGGAGAGTGTATGTAATCAAATCAGCCAACACCGCCTTCACCAACACCACCGCCGCCTTCACCAGCACCACTACCAACCCCACGAAACCGCTACCACCACCAGCCCTAACCACCTCCAACCCTAACCACCCCACGACCACCCCACCACCGAGACCGACCTCCAACCCAGACAACCCCACCACCCAGACCACCCCACCACCCAGACCCACCTCCAACCCAAACCGCCCCACCACCCAAACCCACCTCCAACCCAAACCGCCCCACCACCCAGACCCACCTCCAACCCAGACCACCCCACCTCCCAGACCTAACTCTAACCCAGACCACCCCACCATCTACACCCACCTCTAACCCAGACCACCCCACCACCCACGCCACCAAGACCCACCTCTAACCCAAACCACCCCACCACCCACGCCACCAAGACCCAACCCTAACTCATGTAGGGTTTCGTAGTGACCCGGCACTACGCGGAAGGAAACCCACCAAGACCCGCCCCTTAATTAAAGCAATTAAACAAGCATAATAAACTTAATCAAACAAGATTAAGGACAAGAATTATACCTTTGACGCGTGCTTCGCTCCTAAAGAGCTCTTACTTCAAAATCCCGAAAAGACGAGATCTCCAACGGATCGTACCCTCGACCCGACCCGAGCGTCCTAAGTCTTGAAGGTTAGTCAAGACCCGGACAAAATAACTATGAGTTTTACGAATCAAAGGTTTACTCTTTTCAAGAATTGCCTTTTTAATTCCACTCAAGGTTGTATTCTCAAAATCCCAACCAAGTGGGTATTTATAGAGAATGGGGACTTGAAACCCCTTTTCATGATCAATGTGGGATCATGTGCAATTGCAATAATTTATTTAATTCTAAAATAAATAATTATGCAAAACAATCACAAGCCAACAAGTGGCAAAAGGAGAGAATGGGTTAGGTGAGGACCATATCCCATGGGGGGGACCATTGCCTTGCTCCCCAAGGGAAGCTTGGTGGCTTTGGTCCCCACTTCCCCTTCAAACCGCCATTTGTAAGGCAGCTAGGCTGGCTGCCACCTGGTGCTGCCAGCACGCACAGCCAGCTAGCTTGCTTGGCTGGCGCACCATGCATCACCCAGCCAATCTGCCCAGCGCCACTATCGCACGCACAGCATGCATCGCCCAGCTAGCACTTGCTGGGCATCGCTGGCGCTGGTGCCTTGCTACCGCAGGCATACGCACACACATATGCGTGGTGCTGCCTTGTTGCTATCGCAGGCACACACACACGCATATGCGTGGTGCTGCCTTGCCATCGTATGCACAGCCACGCATCGCCCAGCTAGTGCTTGCTGGGCATCGCTGGCGCTAGCCTCGCATCCCACGCACTGGCTGGTCGCACATGCTTAGCATCATGCACCAGCCATGCGCCACGCACCACGCATTGCCAGCCCACACGCATCAATGCGCCTGTGGTGCGAGGCTGCTTGTGCGAGGCCTAGCATCACGCTGGCGCGCAGCCTCTCGCATGTGCTGCGATGCTTGGTGCTGCCATGCGAAGGCTAGCACACAAGCATACACACATGGCGCGCCATTGCCAGGAAGCCAACCATGCCAGCACTTGGTGCTTGCGATGGTGCTGCCAAGCCAGGCACGCACGCACGCAGCACCTAGTGCCTGCCATGGCGCCTGGTGCCTACGATGGTGCTGCCATGCCAGGCACGCACGCAGCACCAGGGCCTGCGATGGTGCGTCTGGTGCGCCCATTGCTTGCGATAGGCGCCATATGCACCCAGGCACCACGCTAGCATGCTGCTAGCTGCTATGGGCTGCCTGGTGCCTGTGTGGCTTGTGATGGCTGCCATGCGCACCCAGGCACCCATGCTAGCATGCTGCTAGCTTGCGATGGGCTGCCAGGGCGCGCCTAGGCTGCGATGGTGCCTAGAACACACAAGGTGCACCTAGGCTTGCTATGAGCTAGCCTAGCCTAGCTACGGCTACACGCATACTTGTTGCTTGTGATTTTGTGACGCTCGGTATCGACGCCCTAGGCTCGATATCCGACGTCTGTATTCGTAAAACTCTATCGACTCATTAAATCCTTTCGGATTAATTCGATGTCTCGGACCGGAGATTCGATTGGGTTCGACCCGAAGGGTTCAGTTAAGATTAAGCTGTAATATCAATTGTACCTTGATATTACTGATCGGAAGCGGCCTCCACCTAGGCATTCCGATCACTTGATCTTACTAAAGAATTAGCTCTGTAATAATTCTGAACCCTCTATCGGAATAATACACTTGTTGGAAGGACACCATTCCTTTCAACTCAGACCACCCCCACGAAACCACCACCACTACGACCCCCACGAAATCACCACCACTACCACCCCCACGAAAGTCGAAATCTCGAAAATAAAAACCGAGAAAATTCGAAATCAAAACCCAGAAATTCGAAATCAAAACCTTGAAAATCAAAACCCAGAAAATTGAAATCATAAACCATAAAATTGAAATCAAACCTCATAAAGTCGACGAATAGGAGAGATGAAGATGAAATCAAAACTCGGAAAATGAAATCAAAACTCAGAAAACGAAGAGGAAAGAGGAAGATGAAATCAAAACTCGGAAGGACGAAGAGGAGAGAGGAAGACGAAAAGGATGATGAGGAGAGAGGAACTGGAGAAGATGAAGGACGAAGATGATGATGATGGATGAACATGGAGAGGATGAAGAGACGAAGAGGAGAGTGAAAGACGAAGAGGGGAATTGTTGGTGGTTGGATTGGGAGTGAATGGAGGGATTAATTAAATTAGGAAATCTGATTAGTTTAAGGTTAATGTAGTTAAATTAAGTTAAGGGCAAAATTAAGAAAATCAGATTTTTTATGTGAGGGTAAAAATGTCATTTTAAGGGTTTTTGTTTACTAAAAATAGAAAGAAACAGATAGTTGCACATAACCCTGATCGGACAAAAATGGCAAAAGTTGCAGATAATATTTAACGGAGGGAGTAATATTTTTTAAGACGATCAATGTTTATTAATTGACGTATTTCGTCACCACCAATATCTATTAATCTAACCGCCCCTCCTGATAGAATTTCAATTACACGGTATGGTCCTATCCAATTGGGTTTGAATTTCCCTCTTGGATCAGTTGGAGGACCTCTAACCTCCTTTAATAAAAAGTCACCTTCTTTTATATTACGGGGTCGTACCCGTTTTTAAAGTGTCGCGCAATGCGTTGTTGATAGACTTGTATATGATGCAAAGCTTTTAATCGTCATTCGTCGAGGAATAAAAGTTCTTCATACCTAGCTCGTACCCATTTAGCTTTTGGTAGCTTACTTTCGAGTACGATGCGTAAGGATGGTATTTCCAGCTCAACTGGTTGAAATGCGTCCATGCCGAAAACTAAGGAGTATGGAGTTACTCCTATTGATGTTCGTATGGACGTTCTATAACCCCAAAGAGCAAAGTGTAGTTTATTCAGCCAGTCTTTATAATGTTCTACCATTTTCTTAATGATGATTGTTATGTTTTTATTTGTCAATTCTACTGTTCCATTCATTTGAGGTCGATATGGGGAAGACTGATGGTGTTTTACTTTGTAACGAGCTAAGAGGGTCTCAACTTCCGCTTTAGTTCGTGTGGAACTCCATATCTACAAAATATGTTTCGTTCGAGAAACTTTGCGACATGTTTAAAAGTGATAATAACGTAAGAAGCGGCCTCGATCCACTTTGTGAAGTAATCGATGGCTACTAATACGTACTCGAGTCCTCCCATTCCTGTTGGAGAAATTTTACCAATATTGTCGATTCCCCAAGTTGAAAATGGCCAAGGGGAAGTGAGATTATATAGTTCAGATGGTTGAAGGTGTTGTTAGTTAGCAAAAAATTTGGCACTTTGGACATTTCTTGACATAATGGATGCAATCATGTTCCATTGTGGACCAAAAGTACCCTAGTCGTAGAATTATTTTAGCAAGCATTTTTCCATTCATGTGAGGTCCACAAACACCTTTTTCAGTATCTTCCATAAGGCGTGTGGACTCGGGTTGGTCTATACACAACAGGCTTTAACCTTTTGGTCCTTTTAACACAATCGACCATTTACCATCCCATATTGGGCTGCGAGCGTTCATAAGGCGCGCTGGTCTTTGATGAAGTATTTGTAGGATATGTGCCATGAGTAATATATTGGAGTTTTTGATATTCCATTTTTTGAGTATATTATTTATTATTAAACTAGAATCTCCATGTACCTCTAATTTTTGCACACCTATGCTAGTTGATGCTTCTAATCCAATAATGCACACTTCACATTCTGCGGCATTATTAGTAGCCTCAAAGTCTAGTTTGGCAGATATTGGAGTATGTGCTCCCTCTGAACTTATGAGTAACACTTCTACGTCATATCCTTTTTGGTTAGATGCGTCGTCGAAATGCATTACCCATTTGTTGTCTGTGTCATGAGAATTTCTTCATCCGGAAGATGAGTGGTTTCTGCATGACTTGTTTGAATAGGATGTTGAGCCAGAAAATCGGAAATTACTTTTCCTTTTATTGATTTTTCAGGAATATATTTGGGTTCAAATTCGGTCAACATCACCAACCACTTAGATATTCTTCCTTGTATGGGTGGTTGTTCAAACAAATACTTTATTAGATTGTGTTGAGAAATCACATGTGTGGTGTTAGGAAGCATATAATGTCGTAATTTTTTCGTTG